TCAGCGTTTGATGCTCTTTTGATTGATATATGATTCATGTGAAAAGCCGATTTCGACTTCAGGTCCTGTCTTGTTAGTTCTACCATCGAGACCTAGTTTCATGCTTTTTTTTTTTTTTTTGAAGTTGTGAGAACGGCTGATGTAAGCAGTTTTGTTCTCAGGGTCTGTGAAAAGCGTACTTGGCATCTCAGTGAGCAACTTTGGTGCGAATGCATTGACTTTAAAAAATTATGCCATGTGCAGAGGCGACTATGTTCCTGGAATTTGGGTTGACGGTATGGATGTACTTGCCGTTCGTGAGGCTATTCGCTGGGGCAAGGAGTACTGTAATGCCGGGAAGGGACCACTGGTGCTGGAGCTAGCTACATACAGATACTCAGGTCATTCAATGTCTGATCCTGGTACCAGGTAACACTTCTTTCAAATGATTGAGTGATATAGAACGAAACTTATTTAGTTACCGCACTCGTGAAGAAATTCAACAAGTGCGCAAAACCCGCGATCCTATCACTGGCTTCAAAGATCGGCTTATCACGTCCGGTCTCGCTTCGGAGGATGATCTGAAAACAGTCGATAAAGTGAGTTGTTTTACTGGAGTCGTAAAGAGAAACCTATATCTTCAACATGTGCACTGGTAATGAGGATATCTGATTATTCTGAATTACTTTTAAGGAAGTTCGCAAGGAAGTGGACGAGGCCGTCAAAACGGCGAACACTTCATCGCTGATGCCTGAGGAAGGGATCTATACTGACATATATCACAACACTGAGCCGCAGCTTGTAATATCTGCCATTCCGTGTTTCACAGTTTTACTTTTTGTTACAGGTGCGAGGCGCTACTGTCGATGTCTCTCACGTCCAGAAGTATATTCATTCTGCTGACCTTTTGAAGTCGGTTGGTAAATGAGCTGTAACCAAGCGGCCAGTCAGTAATCCTTTACCCGTAACGGGTACGCCGCATCGTAAGATCATTGTAGTATTATAGTGTCAGTGTCAAGTAATATGATTATGACATGTTGAATGTGTGATGTGTTCATAGAGCAGCTATAGGGAATTAGTCAATAAATCAGTTGTCGATTTGACACCGACTGTACAAATGGTAATCCTGTCATATCGCAAAGAAGTGCGTGATTACTAGGTTCAAGCGGAGGATGTGTCGTGCCACATCTGGGGGGTCATTATCGCGGAGATTCTGATGTTAGCGATAGCATGTTATTCGTTGTCAGTGTCAGATAGGCCATCATGCAAAACACTAGCACGATGATGTTTTGGCCTACCATCGTTTACGTTCAGTAAGCATAAAAAGAGCACTGAAAGCGTAAGAACATCATTTTTGTAATTAGCATGTCAACTAACTTTTTCAAAGGTGAGTCATATTTGCTGTATGACTATGGCGGTTGCCCAAAGTAGGTTGAAAGCATGAAAGGCTGCCGCGCGCGGGCGCGCGGGCTGTCGTCAACCATGG